CGGGCTGGGGGCCAGAGCTCCCGAGTGAGTCCTGGTGGCCAGAGCTGGCCCGGGGGGGGGAGCCTGACCCTGCCCTGGGGTCCCACCCGGGATGGCTCACAGGGAAGGAGGTGACATCGCGCTGCCCCAGCGTTGCTGTCCTCAGGGAGCCACGGGGCCAAAACGCAGCCCCCAGGCACCGCTGCCGAAGGGGACGGAGCTGCCCGGCCCCTGCCCGTGGGAGCTTGGGGGGGAGCAGCACTCGGGGCACCTCGGCGGGGAAGGGCGGCAGATGGCCACCCCGCACCTTGTGTGAACGGAGCTGGCGTGGGTGTCGCTGAAGCGCAACGGGTGACGCTTCTGAGTCAGCCAGACAGTGGCTCCGTCACCAGACTGTCCCCGCACGGGAGGGGACAGGGCTACCGAGGGGACGGGGCCTCGGCTGGTAGCAGGGCTGCCGAGGGGCCCATGGGTGATGGAGAAGGGCTGAGCTCCTGAGGAGTGAGAGCCACCGGGGCCAGGGCACAGACAGACGGACAGACGGACGGACCCCTCCACACTCCAGCCATGGCATAAACCCCGCGGCCTTTGGACACCCGGCTGAAACCTCCTCACCCTCCCGCGCCGCCCAGCACGGCCCCAGGAAGGCTCTTCCCGGGGGCTGCCGAGCTCCAGCTCCCGCTGCGGGTCCGTGTGTCCCCGTCTGTGTGTCCCAGGCTGCCGGAGGGGGCTGGGGCTGAGCTGGGGCAGGCGATGCTGGTGTCGGGGGAAGCCCCCGGGGTGGCGGGCAGAGGTGGGCGTTGCGCTGGCCGGGGTGCTCGGAAACCGCTCAAAATCAGGTCAGCGAAAAATGTGAATGGAGCCCGTGGCCGGGGGGGAAAAGCCGCTCGCGGGGACAGCGCAGGGGGCGACCGTGTCACGGCTGGCAGCGAGAGCCATGACGGCTGCGCCGCACGGGGTTGGGGGCAGCCCTGCCACAGTTTGGGGCATGAACCCCTCGGGGGGATATCGGGGTGCTGAGGACCACCCGGGTCAGACACCCCCCACCTGCACCCGCCCTCGGGCATCTCCAAGCTGCCGGGGCGAGCGGGGCAGCGCGGGGTG